CCATTTTACTTTCTTCTTTTTTAATCTCTTCTTTACTCATATCTGTGATGTATTCTATTGATAATAGGTTCGTTCTTGCTATTCTAGCTTCAACTGCTCATTGCTAAATTGTGCCTTCTTGTAAAAAATTCTCTGCTTTTCTAAGTGCATCTCAAATTTGGCTGTATAAAGTCATTTCATATGCTGTGACTCTGCTTGGGTCTTGTATCACAAGATCTTTAGCAAGAGCATCTATTTCGTCTGGTTTGTATAGTTAGAATGTATGAAGAATTTCTACTAAATCACTACTATTTAAATATCTAAGTACTTTTTCAAATGTTTGTAAACAAGTTCAAAGAGACTATCTACTCCTGATAATCTCCTGTCAGATTTCATCAGTTTCTAGAATATTTGTATATATTTATGTTTGTTTACTTTACATATGTACAGTTTCTTTGATTTGTAGTTTACTTAGAATACGTATTTGTTATTTACTGTTATAATAATGTTGATTCTCAAAAAGGGAATGTGTCTTGCTTGTTTTGTCATTGTTTGTTGTTGACAGCTAATCACACGTTTGATCTCTAATTTTCAGGGTCAACACCGATTCTCCAAAAATTTTTTCAAAGAAATTTTGTAAAAATTAATGTACAGGAATAAGAAGTTTATTACTAGAAAACTAAAAGCTTGTTTATAATAAAATTTAAAGAGAAAACAAATTCTATAGCCTCCTAGATAACTTAATATCTTTGGTACTTTAAAAAGAATAAGGCAATTGTGTTTAGGGATAGGCACCTGTTAATTAGTATATACTGGTTGAGAATAACAAAGAAACTTTGTTTGCTCTTTACTAGGGCTACTAATTATTAGTTAATAACCAGACCGTTGTCAGCTACTCGTGGCTTTTGTTTTCTCAACAGTATTAAACTTAACACAGTTAAATTTAATATTACTTTAATGAAGACTATACTATGAAATTTTCGAATTTTTTGTTTTATTTACAAAATTAGGAATCAGCAAAAAGAGTTTGGTTAATGAAAGTTTTGGTATTTATACTAAATAAATTATATCCCTACTTTAAATTTATCTATTTAGTATATCTAAGTTTAAACACTGTTGGATAAACACTTCTTTAACTGGATTAGATAGGGAGGTCAGTACTCAAACCAGATTAGTCTTGAAGTATTGTTTAATTAGCTTTTACATTCGAGGTACATGCCTTGACATGTTTGTTGTCCTGTTATACTAATTTAAGAAATAAATAATGCTAACTGTTTTGGTGCATATGATGTTAATCTTTTGGAGAGAGTAAACTAAATCACCCACTTTTTACAAAAATTTCCTCGAAAAAAAGTGGTAGGTCAACAAGAATATGTAAGGTTCTTCATGTAAATTTTACAGTTGTATAGTCTAGTTCCTCAGTTTCCACTAGATATTCTTAACCAGGGACCCACAGGGATGTTGCTTCCAAAATAATCCTTCTAGTTGGATGCCGAAAATGCAAGGGAGTCTACTAAAAAGCTTGACCCAAAGGCACAACCTGCTCTTTATTATATGCCTACTCCTCGATGTTTTACGTATATAGTAGCTTCATCAATAGCAAGTTTGTTTATATGGACAAGAGTATTGTTGTGTCTACTTTGTTGCGTTTTTCTGTAGTTCAGTTTATTTTGTTTTTGACTAAGGGATCATCAGAAAGAGTTGCTTTAATGATTTATTCAAAATTTTAAGATTTTTTTTTAGATAGAAGATTAATTGTATAACAATAAAGCAGTGATAAGAAGTAATTAAATTTACAATCTTTTTTGGCTTAGTTTACTCACCAAAAGTAGATAACAACCCTTTTTAAATTTTTAAATGTGTAGTTTACTAACTAGCAACAGGCCTTTAACTAATTATAACAAAGGTTATATTTGAGTTGTTAATAGTTATTTGTAATTTGATTAGATAAAAAATTTTTAGTCAATCAAATTGCTTAATTTTAATCTCTATTAACTATTTTTCAAATATAATTTTTATTAATATTATTTGAAGTCTTGTTGCAACTAATTGATTTTTTATATTATATAACTAAATTTGTTAATTAGCTAATCAAACTAAAAAAATCAATATGGATTAGTCTGACTAGATGAAGTATCTTAAAATTGAACTAGTTAATAATTAAATTGATTAGTTGTTTTGAATTTTTCTAAATTAATTAGTTGAAAGTTGTCAACTAGTTGATTTTCAACTAAATGATTTAGATTACTAACTTAGATACTTTTGCAATAGTATGATGTGGTGTATAAAAAATAACCAATCAGAATATATAAATTTTGATCAGCCTGAAATTAAAACAAACTATATATATAAGAAGAAAAAAAAGAGATAAAAGTAAAAATACTCAAAAACTAGTGTTTAAACCAGCTTTTGACACTAATAAAAATGTTAGAAGTATAATTTTACATATAAAAATGAACTTTTTAAGATTTATAATCATGAATACTAACCAAAAAACATAACATAAAGCCAAAAAAGCTTATTTATTACTGCAAAAGTGTCTAAACTTCTGGCAAAATCCATAAAAATATAGATAGATTATATGCACATTGGTTACAATAATACACAAGAGTCATCAACCTTGCATAAAATCTCACTGATTTTATACAGTATAGATCTATTAACAAAATTTAACCCTATGTAATATCAGGATAAGGTTAGTTTTAGATCTTAGAAAAAGACATAGTTTATACTAAAATTTTGCGAAGATCTTTTTCGCTAAAACTCCATAAGTGGCATTATTAATAAAAATTTGAGAAATAATAATATCTGTGTATATATGTTGTAAATAAGAATAAAATTTAAATGGATTTGGAATTTCCTAGTTAAATTAGGATTAAGGTTAGAGTATACATATGATAAAATCAACCCCCAAAAAATGGTGGGTTTTATATACAGGGTATCCCAAAAGTTCTTATATACGGTTCCCATGGTTTATGTGACCTTATACAGAGATCAATAGAAATCGCGATAGTTATTTACGTAAATATTTAAATAATCATAATGATCTCTATTATATAGAGTTCATTATAATTATTTATATATTTACGTAAATAACTATCGCGATTTCTATTGATCTCTATGTATAAGGTCACATAAAAATGGGGACCGTGTATAGGAACTTTTGGGACATCCTGTATAAATTCCGAATCCACTTAAATTCCGTTTCCACTTACAACAAATGTATTAAGTAATTTTCAAATAAAAAATATTAGTTAAAAAGAAATAAAAGACATTCATTAATTTTTTCGAAATATGAATATTAGTAAAATTAGGGATTGAAATCGTTATTCGTTTAACCACCTATAACCATCTATTTATATTATACAGTTAAACAAGTAAAAAATTTTATAAACGATTAAAAACTGTTAAATTATTCGCTTAATCGTTTTTAAAATTTATACGATTAATCGTTTAATGATCGTTTAATCCCCGTGTGGAGACAACAAATATGCGCATGGTAAATATAGTATGTATTTATTGTGCATATATCGATATGTATGATAAAGATTTTTAATCGGATTTTATTCACAGGACAAATGTGTATCACTAGTATAATTTTTATTTAAAAAAATAGGTCACACATAGCTTACATAATTCGATAACTTGTGAAATTTCGTTATCTTGAGGTGTCGACTTAAAGTTCATTTGTTTTAAAAGCACGTGTAATTATATGTAATGCGATGCATAATGGATTGGTAAAATGAGCAATAAACGGTTAAATGGTTACTTGATTATTAAATGATTAATAAGTGGTTAAACTATTAATAAACGGTTAAACTATTAATAAACGGTTAAACGATTAATAAACGGTTAAACAATTAATAAACGGCTAAACGATTAATAAACGGTTAAACAATTAATAAGCGGTTAAACGAGGTAGCAAAGAGATGGTCAAAAAATGTCGCGAAATACGTACGTATGTGATCACCGATCTTACTATGTAAATGTTTGTGTAACCGATACACCAGCGCCAGACTATCTAGTACTAGCGCTATCGCTATAGTAAAAAAATTACCAGTTATGCAAATGATTATATAGTAAGTAGGGTCGGTGATCACATATTTCGCGACGTGTAACATAGTTAAGCGACGCAATTAACCGTTAGTATAATTCTTCACGGTCCCAAACCCTAAATAAAACAAGTAATGAAGTAGAAACCGACGCATCTTGACCGCCGCCCTACAATAGGGTATCGCCAATATGATGATACCTTCTCGTAGGGAAGAGAAATAAAGAAAAATATTCATCAAATTAAAGCAATAAAGATATTGTACGTAATACTGTATGTTTGAAATTTTTAAAGAGTTGTGGCTTAAAAGTTTAATAAAATATATATAAAGAAAATAAATAAATAAATAAATAAATCATAAAATTTCATTTAATATTGTATACGTATTACAGAGAAACCTCCCTAAATCTAAATGCACCCAACCACTTGGCAACGTGCATTTAGAGAACAATAAAAAAATTTGCATTTAGGGAGGTTAAGCATATATTTGGGCCAAAGTTTAAAAGTGCATTTAGGGAGGCTTCTCTGTATTACGACATTATGCAAGCATTATCAACGTAAGCAATTACAAAGCCTTTTTTAATATCCAAGAATATCTAAGTATGTATACACTTTCATGAAGCTTAAAAATTGTAAAAAAGATACATACGTAATTCTTCGTAAAATTAGATGTAAACCTTTTTACTTAATTAATTTGCCATAATGAAATTTTAAGTTATCAATATGTCTTTTTTAGTGTAAATGTCAAACCTTGTCCAAATGAATTCATGAATATCGGTTATGAAAGACAAACCATCTAGATAGGTCCTAAAGAAATATTTTTAGTTTACACATGTACATATATACACATAGGAAAATGATTACAAAACAAAAATAATTAAATTATTTATTTTTTGGCTATTGAATTTTGTCTACAAAATGTTTTTAAATGTCCATAAACAATGTCATTGTAAATACTAAATTGTTTGCGTCACCATCGTGAAATAATATTTTGAATACTTGGATTAGATTTATATAGTTCACTTCGAGCATTAAAGACCGTTTTTATAAAAGCGTTTAATTGCTCGCAGCACTCAGATGGTCCACTCAGGAAATAATCAGCATCTATACAAACAATTCGATCTAATATCTGTTGAACACCATCAGTTGCTCTAAACTCATCTTCATTACCCATTTTATCTCTAAGCTTACCAAATGTATCAAATGTTACCCAAGAACTAATATTAACATTCGTTGTTGAATTTAAAACTGACATGGCCTGATTGTAATATTTGGTTAATTGTGAAGATGAATCATTAGACTCTATAGATATTGGATAATTTGTTGATAAATAAACATTATGAATTCCATGAATTTCGTGAATGTATTGCAAAGTATCCTTGAGCTGTTCTGCGCACTTTGGTAAATTTTCTGTATCTATTCCAACAAAATCCCAATATACAGCAACATACGATTTCAGCGCAACTTTAATTCTCAATGCTTCTTGAATAATATGATTTGCATATGGTATAGCAGAATACGTTTGAGTAAGTATTTCTTTGCCAATATCATCTTTTATCAACAAAACTTCTGCATTTGAATTCATTAAATTCTTAATCAATAAAGTTGATGAATCATTCCCATCATTAACTTGTGATAAAATTTCAGAATTGATTAAAATTCGTTGGAATATAGTTGAGTCGTCAAATTTTATATCAAACTTATTAAAACAATTGACGTGTGTTACTGGTTCAATAATTGGATCGACATGTTCTAATAGCGGAATTAATGAATCACCATGAGAAAAGTGTAAATGTTGAATGCTTGGTTTTTCAAATCTATTTCGAGACCAACTTTCAAATTCCCACTGAGAGATAAAATTAACGTTTGGAAAAAGTTTTCGTAACGCATTTAAATTATAGTAAAATTTGAAGGGAAGTTGATTACACGATTCAATACGTGAACGTCCAACATTTGTCAAAACCATAGTCCGGTCGAGGATACCGGCTATATAAGAGAATGTTTTTAAGTGTATATTGGCTTTTGATTCTTGTCCTGAATGGTAATACATGAATAAAAATCTGCAATTTGTTTCTTTTTTACAATATTTTTTGTTTACTTCCGAATCCGAGAGAAAGTTGGTTTCAATTTCTCTGAAATGGAAATTCTTATCTGTATCATTTGTAAATAAATCATTATCTGAGTTATCATCATCCGGGTAATCATCAGAAGAAATCCGCTCAGTAACGGGCTCCTAAAAAGATGAAATTGAATGTTTATTGTTTGATAGAAATTTGCATGAAATAAAAAATAGTATATTTACCTCTTTTGAACTCGATTGTGTATGTACAGTTGTTTGTGGAATTAACATTCTTTGCAACAATTCATCTTCATAGGTTATAAAAAGTATGATATCGGACAATATAAAGACCAATAATAATAATAAGGTTAATGATTTCATTAATTCATGAACAATAGGGTAAAAAGCCATTTTTCCACAAATTTCGCAAGAGGTTCGACAAAACCTTCATATATATTATCATTAAATAACGCTAAATAGTTTCTAATAGAAACAATGTTGTATTAAATGCTTAAATCAAGAGTCGAGATGATCGGTAAGTTTGTCCATTTAAAGAAGTATGTAATACGATCATATTTTAAATCACATCGCTGCCATGTAAAATAATTTGATCGTGATTATATGATTGTGTAACAATATATTATAGTTATTAACAATAACGAAAATTTCAACCTTGTGCTACACAAATGAACATTCCTGCTTTTTTCGTTATAAAAATAGAGTCTGTATAAGGAAATGAAGGTTTCACGGATTTGATGGCGTCTTATATTCGTGCTGCGCTGCACTGTGAGCGCTCTTGATTTTGCATACTACCTCGTTCTGCTTGGTTCTGAATAACGCTCTTATTTATACAAAAGATTTGAAATATTTGAGGCGCAAATAAGATAACTTGTTTGTACTTCCCGCTTCTGTGCTGTCTCTACTATGTACAACTTTTTGAAGTTGTACGACAAATATTTACGATTTTTATCTCATCATCATTGCTTTCACGATAACGATAAATGATATTTATTTAAAATCCACTCAACCAGAAAATCAAGTTTTTAAAGTCATTGGATTCACATATGACTTAAAACCGGCTATTATAAAGTTGTACAAAAATGATTTCTCATATGGTTGCTATTTTTGTACGCCCTACCTTTAAAGGATCAACAAACACGGTTTTTCGTAAAGCAATGCCAGTATAATAAAAATAATCGACAGGATGAAATCTGAGTCATCAGCTAGTAAAATTCGTTGATTGGTTATTTTATGTAAAATCTGAGATGTAAGGTAAAACCTGCGATTATTGAATATAATATATAAAATCTGATATGGATAGGGTGAAACCTACTAATAAACAAAAGCTGCTCATATGTTTTTTATATCTTTGAGCGAAGATATCTCGATAACCACCTAGCCACATTCAATGAAATTTTTTTTATTTGAATTTTTTTATGAATTTATAGAATTCAAATAAAACAATTTTCATCGAATTTGGTCAGATGGTTGCCGAGATATCTTCGCTCAAAGCTTGATGCAGCTTCTAATTTTGATAGACGTTCTGATTTTCTTCTAAAAATTTAAGCGAAGATATATCTGACCAAATTCGATGAAATTTTTTTATCTGAATTCTTTAAATTCAAAGAATTCAATTGAAAAAAAAATTTCATTAGGTTGTTATCAAGATATCTTTGCTCAAAGTTTTAGAAAAATTTAGAACAACTTTTGTTTATTAGCAGATTTTACCTAGAGATGGGCTGCTGCGCAGGCGGAACATTTCGGAAATTCGGAATATTTACAGCTGTTTTCATAATTCCTGGGTAGAGGTTGGAACCGGTTTTAATAATTCGGGTTTATCACGTGAATTTGGTGATATTTTAGAATTTATTAAATTTTAA